CCGCGTGATAGCAATGCGCTTCCGTAAATTTAAGATGTTAACCTAACAGTCGTGTTTTGGGAATATGGGAAGAAGGCAGAAGATGAGTGAACCCGCACATACAGCCACATTTAAAACATTTAAAATTCATGAATTTAGACATTTGGCTGACTGAAAATCAAATCAGAGTCATTGCTGCAAAGTAACGATGCTGACTGTCGGTCCACCAGGTGCAGTAAAAGTTTTAAACATGACTAAGCAACATCTGGTCAGGTAGTAAATTTAAATACATTTTCTTTGGTAAAGAAAAAAAAACAACAAAAAAAGAAAAACACAGGAATCACAGTGGTCAAAGATATTTGGATGATGACATTCAACAATAAGAAATAATTGAATTAACAGAAGGAATAAATCAGAACAAGAAGATGAAATAAATACAAAATGCAAAGAACAAGTCCAAAATTCAAATAAGAAACTGAACTAGCAGAGGGAATAAACTAGAACAAGGAAAAATAATGAAAATAAGAAATCAATACAAGGAAACAAAAGAGGCAAAAGTCCAAATTGATAAGGCATCATAACAAAACAAGAAAGTAATTGCTGTATCTCTTCCATTAAACTGGAAAAAAGATAACTCTGCAATTCATTAACTTAGATAAGCAAAATGAGTAAAAACAATGCGACAAAAAACAACAACAACAAAAAATAAAACTGAAATATTCAGACATATGAGAAATATGACATGTAATTCCTTTGGTAAAATGCTATTTAATTTAACTGATGTTGTTCACAAGGTCTTTCTAAATAAATTAAATAATATCCACTACTGCTAACTTACATAGAAGGTAGGTCAGATAGGGCGGGGATACCAAGGAAAGCAATAAAATATGATTATTCTACCAACAGCTACAGTATAAAAGTGACAGTCGGATAGTTTCACACACATCAAGAATCAGCATCCAAGGTAAGAATTGACTAAATTTACATAGCTACAAAAAGGACTAAGGATTCATGACAACTATGGTGAGTGGACAGCTTGAATAAGTCATTATTTTTATTGAGAGTATTGTCACTGTTAATATTTTATGACTTGTATGGTGTTTTCTTGTATCAGATGCTGCTCTTGCTGCTGTTGGTGGCATCATGTGCTGCCATTCCTCAAAGTAAGAAAAAACACTTGTTGCTTTTTTAACAATATAATAATATAGATTAAAGGTTTATATGATAGCAAATTAAGTAGTTTTTCTAACTCCTATGCAAATATACGATGGAACATGAAGACTTTTTTATTATTTTCTATCCCTAATAAATGAATAAATAAAATAAAACAATTGTTGGTAAAATTGTGTTGCTGTCTCTTTTGTTAACAACATTTAGCTTTTATGTTTCAGATTTGCCAGTAAGCAAACATGTAGGTCAGCTAGCTGGTTGACTTGATCATTCCAGCTAAGAGTACATATTTTTTACAAACCTGAAATAAAATTGTGAGTTAACTTCATATGAAAACACTCACAGGAGTCTTTTCCATCTAAACAGTGCTAGTGCCTGGTTTGGACTTTGGCTGAGTTTTTGATCTGTAATAAACTAGAATAATAAAATAATGTGCTTTGACTGTAATAAAATGCTGGATTAGCCACAGAAAAACAAAGGCTGACTGTCCTGACCTTCTTGCTGTGTATCATGATATCACGTGAGTTCAAGTAGGTCATGAGTTGATAAGAACTGTGGTCACAACTGATTATTTCCCACTGGATCCATAAACAACATTTCACACTCAGTTCTTCAAACACTGTTAGGTGCTGTTCAACAATTTGGTCTGAAAGTTGTGCTTCGCTTTTTTAACTTTAGAGTTAAGCAAATTAGGATTGTTAAGTGATTTCAACTATGTTGTCTTAGGCTCACTGCAAAGTCTGGTGTACACTTAGAGAGTGATATTGTCTTTCTCTATTTCTCTAAAATATTTTCTCTAAAATATTTTGAGTTCACATTGTGTCTCATTGAAATAATGTGAGTGATCTGCCTTCTCCTTAACATCATGTCAATGAGAAGGCAGATCTTGACAAAACTGCATTGATTTAATCTAGTTGATGAAATAACAGATTTGTATGTTATGGTATTTCTTTTTTTTTTTCAAAAATAAATGAAATAGTAAAATAGATGTTTTCAGAGTGAATTGTCTGGTTCCAAGTCAAAGGGTTAAAGTGCTGTGTAACTTTCACTGTGACTCACAGAAGTTACTATAATTTAAAAAATAAAAAATGAAAGGTTAACAAATCTACAAGTTAAATTTACTCAGTGTAACATCATATCAAATATGAGGAGATGTTGTCAGAAACAAGTTCAGCAATGATATTAAAGCCTAATTTCCAAGTGGAAAATAATTTAAACAGAACTATGAATATTTTATTTTTGAAAGTATTCATAACTTTAAATGTTTTTTAAAATAATGTTTTTAAATTTCTTTAATAACTCCTTCGTTTAAAAGATCTTTCAGGAAAGATGTTCACCTTCCCGCAAGAAACCAACACAGCACATGTTAGGTTGACATCAAGTCAAAATTTACAGGCTGTAACTGTCTGTTTGAGGTAAGAACTAACCTTGGAAATGCATGAAAACAAATAAAGCTATCTACAGAGTGCATGAATGTCTACAGCTAAAACTAAATTCTTCATGTCTTTTGCCTCAAAACAGGTTCTTTACAGACCTCAAAAGACATCACTCTCTTTTCTCGTTGGCTCTACCCTCTTTAGATAACGCCTTTTTGTTGTTCAAATCGGCCAACTTAGATTCTTTTCAAATGTATGTAAGGAACACGGCCGCAAATTTTGAAGGACTGGACTTCAAGCTGAACAAGTGGCAATCAGTTTGTGCAACATGGGATGCTGCATCAGGTTTGGCCCAACTGTGGGTGGATGGAAAGCCTTCAAGCAGGAAATTTACCAGCTCTGGATCCAATATCAATGGACCAATTATTATTGCTTTGGGACAGGTGCGTTTTTAAACACAGTAAATATAGAAATATTAATACATTATGAAAAATATCCCAAATTGTATCAAGTTTATGATTCAATCAAAGTTAGTCACATATTAAAATTGGTGGTGGCTTAGCTTAAACTAACCTAAGAGTGAGCTTGAAGGCGGCTGTGTGCAAACTTGTTAAGCAGAGATTTATGGAAACAAACTCTGGGAAAAACAGTTTCAATCTGAAATACCCAACTTAATTAGGTACACATAGTTTGTAATAACTCATACAATAAGCAAAGGCATACTTGAGCTAATCTGCCCCACTTAAAAAATGTTGTGTCAGAATTTTATATTCATGGCTTATTGGAGATGTGCAGCATAACTAAAACCTGCTCAGCCAACTGTAGCTTCATTGCTGCATTGAAGTCGCTACAACTTCATTGTAGTAATATTTTGAGTTACATATCATCTTTAATCTATTCTTATTACTTTAATTTTCTGATTTTAGGGCTTCAAATATTTTCTGTTTCATCAATGATGGATGATTCTATTCCTTATTCTATCTTAGTCAGGGCACAAAGTATTGACATGTATGTTTAATTAAACCTCTGAATCATATTAATTTCCCTGAAAATGTTTATAGAATGCCGTCTCTTGCAGCTTGCAGGGCTGTTGGTGCTTGTGAGTTTACAGTTTGATTATTGTGTTTTCTTCTCTGATTACAGGAACAAGATTCACATGGTGGTGGTTTTGATGTCAAACAATCATTTGTCGGCATGATGTCAGATCTCCATATGTGGGATTACAAGCTTTCACCCTGTGAGATCCGGAAATACACGAATGGCCATGGCTACGCAAATGGAAATGTGTTGAACTGGAATTCACTGGAATTCCAGATTATAGGAAGGGTGCTGATCGAGAATCAACAGAATACTTGTCAGTAAATCCTAATTTCTACAAATTTATATAGTGCACAATAATTGGTCACTTGTATGACATGAACACAATTTACTCTGTTTTTTATATTCCAACATCATAAATATGTTTAATTCATTACACTAATCATTTTGTCATACGTTGTCAAAAACTTGAATACTGTTTTTTTTATTATTATTATTTTACCCTAGATTCAATGCTGAACTTTTTACAAAAAAAACTTTTCGATTAAACTTGTAACTGAATATAGAATCATTAAGAGCTGACTACTTCCAAGACAGGTGTTCAAAAATCTAATAATTTTCATTAAAATAGTCCAAAAATAAAAGAATTAAGAGCTGTGAGTTTGAGAACTGAACTACGAATGTCTAGATATATGTTTTTTGTCAGTATGTAAAACGTGAAGTAGAGAAAAAATAAATGCAATTCTCAGATATCCATGAAGTTAGTAGGAGGGTTTCATGTGAGAGGCCCCAACATTAGCTGGAGCCATTGTTCCCCTTTTGTAACAGTTTTTATACATATATATATACATATTATGTATTATATGAGGGAGAAAATCATGACTTCTTTACAAGTTGTCAATGTCCGAAAAGGCACAGATGTAAATAGTTTTCAAGAAACCTGCTTTCAATATCTGTTTTTTAATCTGACAATAAAACTCATAAAAATCCCCGTGTAGTGACGTATGGCATCGGTCAGGTTTTTTGTGGTGGTGCACTATTTGACCTGTAGTGCTGCAGAGACAACTGGATCACTTCCAGATTTGGATGGCGAGCCCAGCCCAAAGGATCGAATGTGCCCGTATTTTATGACCCGGTGACAGGAAGGACTAAAAATATTGGGTTATTTTCTTTTCTTTTTTTCTTCTTTTTTTTTCAAATGCGTGCAAATTTGGTTTATTTGTGAATGTGGATGGATAGTGTTATATTAAGTTCTGCTCTTTCCTCGTAGACACTGTGTGCTCTCCTCTGTTTTTGCTCACACCTAGGCTGCCACAAATTCAGAATCTTCTGATCAAGCCCAACATCCCTTATAAGTGTGTAGTGTTAGAATTAGTGATTGAAGTAACTTAACCTTCCTGCCATACCCTAACTATCAAGGGTATTTGAAGTAACCTTTCTTGTGGGTTACACATAGGATGCTTCAAACTGACTTTCTGCTTTTTAATATTCAATTCACCAAAATTACAAGGCTTGAAATCCTCATTTCTATACTTGAATGCAAAACAAAATCATTCTGGTCAGAATACAAAGTTTTTATAGGTATGTCCAATAAAACTTGTATGTTTGTAGAAAACCCAGTTTCTGTTATTGTGCTGTTTGATTATTGTATCTATTTTACAACAGTGTTTAATTTTTGTACAAGATCAAGATTCACATGCTGGTGGTTTTGATGCCACACAATCATTTGTCGGCATGATGTCAGATCTCCATATGTGGGATTACAAGCTTTCACCCTGTGAGATCCAGAAATACACAAATGACGGCGACTACACAAAAGGAAATGTGTTGAACTGGAATTCACTGGAATTCCAGATTATAGGAAGGGTGTTGATAGAGAACAACCTGAAAAATTGTCAATAAATCATATTTTTTTTTATTTATATATCGCACAATAGCTGATAAAATATGTGTTATGTTATATAAATTACTCTAACTGCTTTTAGAGTAATTTTAACATCATAACCATGTTTAATTCATAACACTAATTCATACCTTTCTGATAATACAATCAATCAATCAATCAATCAATCAATCAATCAGTCAATCAGTTTATTCACTTGATTTAACACATTTCTTCATTAATTTACAAATACATTCTTTTACAACGCTTACTGTACTCGAGTGGAAAGGGAGCAGGAAGAAGAAAAATCTTGTATTAACCTGAATCTCTTTCAATAATTACAAAATAAACTTTCATTCTGTCACTTGTAGTCAAAAACTTTAATACCATTTTCAAATTTTACCCCAGAATCAACGTTGAACCATTTTACAAGAAAGTACTTTTTGATAAAACTTGCAACTAAGAATTATAGGTTATTTTAAGCTCATGATGTATTTGTTTATGTTACTGTACTATCTTTGAAGATGATGCTGATCATTTTCATTTAAAAAAATTAGTCTTCCCACTACATAATTAAGAATTGTGTTGCTGACCTTGGCTGCATGGTTTCATTGAAAAACTAAAATAACATGTTAAAGATGCATTCAATATAATTTAATTTCCAGCTATATTTTAAGTACATTGTGAGTGATAATATGATTTTGGATATTTCAATTTTTTAGTTTTGAACAACTTAAAGGTTTGAGCTGGTTTTCTGTAGAATTAAGTCAAAGAGATTTGAATTATTTATAATACAAAGATAAATGATTAAAGTAAGAGTGACTTAAATGTGTCATGTTAAACACACTTAATGAATGAAGTTTTAAAAACTCAGTAAATTGAGATGGATAAACTTAATTAATTGATTTGGATAATCATAATATACTGTATTGAGTAGGTCAGATGTAGGATACAAAACTGGCATTGAACTCAATTGTTTTAAATAAAGTCAAAATGAAAAGTTCCTTTAGGTTAAAGATTTTAAAGTTTTGAGTTAAATGAACACAAAAAAGTAAGTAAGTTTGTTCTGGGGCCACACCATTAACATACACAAGGCTCAATTTTAGGCCCTATTTGTTTATTTTACAGTCATTGCCTCCTGGTCAGATTTTTGTGAAACTCAATCTTTGTTTCATTGCTTTGCATATTTATATGCCCCTAAAGATGCTAAATGAAGAAAAAAAAATACCTGGACAGGTTCATGGATGGAAATATGTTTTTCTACCCATGAACTGAATCATGGATGGATCTAAATTTTCTTCACCTAAATAATAAAACTTAAGTCATAATATTTGGTGAAAACATTCTTACTGAAAATCTAAATCTAGGCATTTAGCTCCATTCTGTCTGACTTTTGTTAGGAATCTTAGTGTTATTTTTGATTGCTGCTTAAAATTATACAAACAAGTTAATTCAGTTGTTAAATCAAGTTTTTTTTTCACCTCTGGCTTTTAGCAAATGTAAAGTCTTATTTTTGTTTTAATGATTTATGCCTTTATTACAAGTACTTTATTGACTGGATTATTGCTATGCCTTCATTATTTAGGGCATAGAAAAATCATTAATACAGTGTCTTCAAGTTATCCAAAATACGGTATAAGGCCAATACTGGTCTCTTTACATTGTCTGCCTGTTTTGTATTGGATAGATTTTAATAAGACCCTTTTAACATTTTAAATCACTTCTTAAAATGTAATTTGCTTTTTCATTGGCATTCATTTGAAGTCTGGCACCATTACTTTTCTGTTATAATGTACACAGACTACATAGGGGGCACATGTCCTGGATCTTACTGCTGACTGAAGAACTGTATCTTTGAAGAAAGTTTGAGGCCTCAGAGCTTCAGCTGCACTGAGGCACTGAGGAAAACCAGATGATAGAAAACAAGGTATTTATTCATTGGAAAAGTGATAAGAACTTTTCCAGTGTCTATTCACCTGCAGGAATGTGAATAGACACTGGAAAAGTACTGGGACTCAATGAAACTACAAACATTGGGAAAGGAGTAAAACAGATCAAATAACAAAATCCAAAAACACAAAGAGCAGAAGACAAGACCAAGGAACCATAGAACAGATCAACACATTTCTGTTAAGCAGTAATCAGAAACACAAGCATAAATAACAATGCATATAAAACTTGACACTTAGATACCCAGGACATTAAACAGAATATGGCAGAGATCTTCTCTGTCTGTTTTTGAAGATGATAAGATAGCACCTTAAAACTACCATAATCCATTGCTTATAAATGGCAAATACACATGTACATCAGGTGTATTTGCCTGACGTACAGGTATACCTTCCTAAAGACGTTTAATGGTCTTGCTGAAAATGTGCTATCTAAATAAAATTACCTTACCTTACCTGGTTCTTCCATGCAATTTGCTCAATATATATTTTCTTCTGTTGCAGTGGAATTGTGTGCCCTGTCTTTATTTGATTTATTTCTCATTTTCTGCATACACATGGAAAGGAGAAACATTTCTAGCTCCTGACTTTATAGCAGTTAGATTTTGCAACTCATATCAAGTTGAATACTAAACCAAGCAGCAAGAAAACACTTCAAGTTCTTTTTATTGGGAGCTAAAAGTGCACTTTCAAAGTGATGTATCTTCATGTGCTAAATGGCTAGACATGCAAAACTTTACAATTCTTACATCTAATTGAATGACTTAATGATCCAGATTTTACCATAATGTCCATTCATGTATTTTTTATTTTATTTTTTTTGAGATCCCAATTAGCATCAGCAGCATGCTGCATCCGCTAGGTCAGTTTACATAAAAAGACAGATTACATTTACAAAGAAATCATATTGAAATGAAGTATTAAAATAACACATTTTGTCTTATGCTATGATGCTGTCATACGTACAGCGCATACATTTATTATCCCATCTCTAACTTCAATAAACACATATGTATAAGTCTAATAAAAATATTTACATACATCATGTGCATGCTGTACAATTTCATCTGATGTCATTGACAAGTTCAGTCTGAATTATAATAGTGAATATGTAGGTTTGCTGAATATATATTAACTCCCTTTTTACTGTATCCTTGGTATCTTTAAATAATTAAAGTCACTTAAAGAAGTCTGTCCTGGCAGTGATTGCGCTCCTCCTTATGGCTGCTGAGTCCAATTGTAGCGCTATAGTAAAACATCAACATCAGCACACATGTTCAGTAAGAAAACAGATGTTGGATACTTCAGTGGCAACTTTATACAAAAGTATAAAGTTTCTCAAAATAGTTTCTCAGTCCCTGTGAACAATCATATCAGAAAAAAGATATTTCTTATATATGTTGGTGCAATGACAAGATTTACATATGAGTCCTCTGAACTTTAGCAGTGCAACTGAGTTAACCTTCTGGTTAAGTTAATAAAAGCAATTCTGTAACTGATCCATGAGTGTAGCAGCCTACAGCTAAAGTGAGGAATTCGAGTATTTGATTTTTGAAATGAATTATGTTCATGAATCTTCAGACGATTCAATTGTCTTGTGATTGGCTTCAGCCCTAAGAAATAAGCATTTTTCTTATTTATTTTGTTGTTAAAACTGTCAAGTTGATTTTTTTTTTTGTATCTACAAGTCTGATTTCACCCACGACTTGGTGACATTAACCTTTGTGAAAGTCACATTGAGTGGAACTACATCAACAACAAAATCATGCAGTTAAAGAAAATGGGATCAGTTGGATCCTCAGAAGGTCAATGCTGGTATGAGTGGGTGATTTTGAATGATCACAGCTTTAACCACCGTTTTGAAGAGGACACAGAAGGATCTCTCAGCAAATAGTTCATCTTGAATATATGCATTGGAAATTGTTGCTCTTCTCATCTCAACATTAAAAGTTAACTCCATTTTACAGTTTTTTTTTTTTTTAGTTTGTGCTGAACACAGTCACAACTGAAGGCGTTGTGATATTCTACTATAAATTTGTCAATGCATTTGTCTGCCCATTTCTGTGTATCACTGAAAAATACACTTTCACAAAATACCCAGAGGGAATTTCTTTAAATCTAGTTCACTCTTGCTCACAGATGAGCTGATTAGAATTGCTGGTCAAGAGTCAAATTCACTGACAGGTTTCTGGGCTATTCAAGACTTTACATGGTAATTATGACAAGATTTTCCTCACAAGGGCCTAATAAGGTGCTAAAATGAAGTGAGTAGGAGATGTATCTCAGCAGTAGACAACGTGCTTTGCATGTAAAGAGCTTGAAATTCCTGATTCCAGCAACCTCTTTGTCAGAAAAATGGCTCAAACAGAAGACATGTCGTTAAGTTTGTTTTGCGTGGGACATTTGCCTTGACCCATAGAGCAGTTCTTTGATGGTAAATGTTTGGTTTGGATGTAATATTCAGCAGACTATTACAGTATAAAGAAGCTGTGCTAATAGTCCTAGAATACCAAAAGATAGGCATAGACTTTCAAAGATTATTTCAGACTGATACTCCAATATATATCTCCAATTGGAAAAAAACTTGATAGCTAGCTGCAACGTAATTAGATATGATCTGTGGGGGAAAAAAACACAAGATCTACTGGAAAAGGCAAAGAACAAGTTTTGATAATATCAAAGATGTTTTGAATGGGTGTGGCAGTGGGTGTAGGGGTAAAACACGTGACCCATGTACAAAGAGAGACCTCAGTCCTCAACGCGGACATCATGGGTTGAAGTCTGACCCTGTTGACTTTTGCAACGTGTGTTCGCCCTTAAATAAGCCACTATTTTAAACTAGAGGCCTAGTGTCAAATAAAGGTCACTAGAGCCACAAAAATAGAAAAAAAAAAAAAGATGTTTTGATAAAAAAAAAAGTTCGTTTGGATCTTAAGATAATCAGCCTTGGTGCTCGTCACCGCCTGTCAAAAGAAAGCAGAGAAAATAAGTGAATGCCTACTATAATTGTTTAAGCAGACACCGAGTTATTACACCTTATCTGATGCACCAAGTATCAGTTCTTAAATAGCCGTGTCAGAAGAAACATTCTGTGGTTGTAGAAAATATATTAATCTATTTCAGGAATATATCAAGCAAAGAAAATGCCCAAGAAGATTTCTGATACGGCTGAAGTTAGATTAAGAACAGGCAGACATTATTATCAGAGCTTTTCCGGTCTCTACAAAGCATCTCTTCAATGTGATGCGCGCAGCTGCAACAGAGAAACGTTAGAGGAGTTTGAAAGAGCCTGAAAATAATTTCAGGTCATAAACAAACTCCCAGGCTGTGGGAAATGTAGGGTGGGTAAATAATGTGGAGCAGTTCTTCAACAGGTTTGATCAGACGCTCACACATTCTCCAGCCCAGTTCCCTTGGATACAAACTCTCCAATCTTTGAATTTAAGTTTGACAGTTCATCAGAGCCTCCACTGCAGCATGACTGGAAGCCCAGTTGTTCAAAACTCATGTCAGTGTGGTAATCCAATAATATCCAGTCCAATCTAGCATGTTTTTAGACTGTGGTGGACTGGCAACCTGTCTGAGGTGCATACACGGCTTCTTGACCGCAGTGACAGCTGGATAAGGACACCAGCCCCATCTGCTTACTACCAGGGTAACCAGGTACAGATGCTGGCTGGCTGGCTGGCAAGATGGATGGATGGATGGATGGATGGATGGATGGATGGATGGATGGAACAGTGATGTGATCTTCTTCAGTCTTGTTACACATCTGATAACTCAAATCTGTAACTTTCATTATAGCACCATGTTTGCCTAAGCTGTAAATGCCTGAAGAGAAAAGTCTAATTCTTTTGAAGTTATCTAGACTCTTATTTTTGCTGCCAGCCCAACTACGTTGGACTACAGACTCAGTCAATAAATTAGATTATTTAAGATTTATTTCAGAAGCTCAGTTCAAATATGTTTAAAAGCTACTCTCAATCTGACAAACGAGCCACATCCGGACACATATTGTAATTTATTGCATGTGACTGTGGCAGTTATTTAAAATAACACATTTCTCAACAGACTGAACTCTTCAATGTTGGATGTGTAACCTTGCACAAACTACTGCTCCGGCAACAGTGTAGCCTACTTGCAAGTTTCAAGGGACCTTCACGATAAATTAGGCTGCCCAGAGAGGGGCTGCAGCAGTAACACTTCTCACCTCACACACCTCTCTTTTGACATTCCCGCTGAATCAATTAAGCACCCTGTGCTGCCTGGGAACTCAGAAAAAGCCCCTTGTGACCATGAAACAGCTTCCTGATGTAATGGAGGGCAACGTTTATCTCAGCTGACTGAGATTGAGACTACTGTAGGTCTATTTCAGCAGACACCAAGAAGCACTTACTTGAGATTCTGTTTGCATACAATGATATTCTGGGCCATAATGCATTAAATCCTGCAATAAACTGAAAACCCTCAAAATGCACTGCTAAAGCTTTGTTCTGAATACTAAGGTTATCTATTTGTTTCAAAACATCTTGCATACTTTCTATTTTTGTTTAAATTTTGTTTAAAAAAGCTTAACAGAAACAGAAATCGTCTCTGTACGAACCCAAAGTCTTTTCTTGAAGACTTTCTTTCTTTCTAAAATCTATTAATTCACAGCTAACCCAGTCATGGTTGTTCAGCGCGTTTGTAATCCAAAGAAAACATTTTTGAAGCACAAGAATGTGGAGTTGAAAAATTGTTTGGTTATATTATCACCTTACTCTTACATTTGAACCTTGTTTACAAAAAATTTAACAAAAATAAGTGTTTGGTGCTTTGCTCCCAATGTTCTAAACTAAGTTCATCAATTAAGATTTGGTGCTAGTTCACTTTACATGTGCAATTTTGTGCTAAAATAACTATTTTAATAACAATTATGTAACTAGTTTCATCAAAAAATCTCAAATGATTTTACAAAACTTTCACTTTTGCTTTTGACACTTTTAGTCAACATATATTTTCACATTTCACAGACATATCTTCATTAACCCTTCATTAAATGTTGTCCATGCTGCTTAAATTCATACAGAGCTGAACATAAATGTTCCTTGAAGGTTTTACGGATTTTTCAGGCTTTTAACATACACACATTATAAAAATAACGTGTGTATGTGAGCTTGTGTCACAGTGTTTCTGCATGTCACCACATTGTAATTCTTTCCCAAGGACATATTAGAAGACTTTATCTAAGGCGCTGACACACACATACTCATTCGCGCACAAACGAAGCAGATAGCTTCCTGACACCAGGAAGTAGGCCAATATCAACAGCAGTTTCCTCGGTAATGAGAGAATAAAACAATGTGAGAGGGTGTGAGGGACTACAGATTGTGTGCACCGATAATATTTTCTAGATGCAAGATAACAAGATGTCTGAGTAAAAGGGGTGCTGAGGGCATAAATGAAGAGGAAAAATTCTTCTTACTCCAGACTTTGTACCCTTAACAACAGATACTCTCTGTTCCTGCCTCTCCTCTTCTACCTCTAAGTCATTAGCCTTGGACCAACTCTCGTCTACAAGCCATGTTGTACTTTTTTTATCAGTCGCTAATCTTTCGTTTATCCGGTCCCAAGACTTCCCCTCCTCTCCAACACACACACACACAATGTGCCCCACTACATCTATTTCTGTCAACTCGAATGCACTAGGCCAGTGGGGTCCAAAGTCGATCCAGGGTCAGCATCCTGCATGTTTTAGTTCTGTACCAGCCGGTAGTAACAACCTATAACATGTCAGTGTTCTACTGAGGCCTTTAAATTAGCCATCATTTGATCCAAGTGTGTTGAACCAGGGAGAGAACTGAAACATGCATGACGACCCTCAAGGATCGTCTTTGGACACCACTGCGGTTGGTGCAAAGTGTAGGTAGACAGAGCAGCGCAGCACCGCAAGCATCATGTCTTCTTTCCACTCCTTCATCAGACAGACCTCTGCCCTGGTGACGAGGCGGGTAGCCATCCAGATAGCCATCCAGGTAACAAGCAAAAGCAGTGTGTTTTTCCTCCCACACCTTGCATGTGTTGGAGTTCATTCAATTTTGTGTCTGTGCTCCACCAGGTTCGTTAACCAGTTTCAGCACCCGTCCAGAATTTACCCCTTAGCATAAATTTAAGAAATAATGAGATTTGGTTATATTTAAAAACAGGCTTTAATGATCAAATATTACAAGCCATGCACGTCATTCAAATGAAACAGATACAGAGTTACATTCACCATCCAGTGCTGGGTGTCACTTAGCAAACCTTAGGGATGCAACCAAGTGAGGCTGAGATTGAAGCGCAATCTGTACCCTGCCTAAAGGGTAGTCTAATCATTTTCATCTGTTGACTGGCAGCAGTCACACATAAACATGGTCATGGAAGCTGCAGCGGTTGAGTGTAAGCAGATAGAAGATGATAAGAGAGACAGAGGAAAAGACAAAATCCATAACAGATGCAAAAGTCAAAACTTTACTTGTCTCAATTTTGTCTAATCAAAGCAGCCAATCAATAACCTTCCCCACATTAACTACTAAAACACCTGGTGTTGGATATAAATATGTATATTTATTTAGAGAAGAATGCTGAAAGTAAAAGAGGAAACAAACAGTTCTGCTTGTTCATGACAGCACTACCTACTTTTTTTGTAATACTTATCTTTCTTATTCTTTTTTTTTTTCCAAAGCGGATAAACGATACACTGCCCAAGTAAGTGAAAATAACCAATTTTGTTTTGTTTGTCTAACATCTCACTATGGTAATTTATTACATGTTGTCACCCAAAATATAGAACTGTTTACACATTGAAAACATTTTCCAGCAGTTACTCTATGTGGTTAATTTAAGATGTAAATTAAATAATAAAAAAAAGTATCTTGTGCATACTCTGCCTTTTGAGAACAAAGTTCAGAGGTTTGTGGATTTTATTTCATCCATCTCCTTTGGCTGGGTCCGTTCCCAGCCTTGTCGAATTCGGGTGAGGGCGCGGTCCACACAAGGAAGGAGAAGAAGTAACTTGAGCACCAACACCACAGAAGGTACGATCAGACAGAGCATGTAGCCTGGAGGCGTGTACCATTTGTAGGTTGAGGGGCGAAGAAATTTATTCCAGCCATAGATGTAGCCGTGAGCCGTGCAAATGAACAGAGTGAGATGTCCTAGTTTAGACTGGAAAAATGGCACATATAAAGGTTTTACTTAAAACATTGCAAGAAGAGAAGGGCATTTCAGAATACAGATGTTTTCACTGACCTGATGACAGAGAGACCACAGCAATCAAAAGTGTAAGGTTACATGCATGAAGCTGGTGACTGGGTTAAAGGGCTTAAAAATAAACTTCATATTAAAGTTGCTACAAAACAGGTCTGCAAAATGTCTACAATTAGCACACTTTTAAAATGAAATGTATTATGAAACACTTAGATCAGAAAAAAAAAATCATTTTAACATGCTTTGCTTTTGCTTTTATTTTTTATCCCTATTCAACATAATCTCTATTGATTTAATGTAATTAATTCCATTTTGTGATATTTTCTCAAGTTTTTTTTTATATATATGATTTTCCTGAGCAACAAGTCACTGATATTTAATTTGACCTAAGATAAAAATATCACCATAAGCTCTCCTAATGACCATCACACAAACATCAGACATGAATTTGCACTAGGAGTTGATTCTCAAACCAGATTCCTCCATGTTTTTCCCAACTCTAGTTTATCCTGCTAAAATAAGTGCTTGTGCTAAGACTTAAAAAAAAAATTGGAGCCATTTGTGTTACAAGGTATGTGGGATTCAAAAGTTACACTTGGGATTTATTAAGGTTAGAAATATGTACAAAAATCTACACCTTAAGATACAAACCTTTTTAACATCACTATTTCTCATTTTCTGGTTACTTTAACAGTAGTTTTACTTCTACAACAGCCTGCTTTAGATGAAAACAGTATAACTTATAGATGTATGGGTCAATAGAAGCCCAGAAAGCAAAAAGAAATGTTCTTGCAATTCTAGAGACAATTTATTTTTAAAAATGTCAGATTTATTTTTTATATTTTTGAAGAGTTGCATTTGTCTTTGCTCACTCATTTCCTCTATTCAAGAAAAATATATTTCATTGTCACATTCTGAAATTTACTAAGGTTAACATGTTTCCTGAATGCATTTATTATACCAGCTGCATGCCTGTTAAAAGTATGTATCGAACCCAAAACTGTCCCTTAGAACATCATCTAATATTTACTCATCCAAATGTTAACCAGCACACTATTGCAAATCTTGCACCAATTATGTCTACATCTCAAAAGGCTCCATAGCATAAGTGCCACAACTTAAATACTTCATGCTGTACACTTTACGTTTACCACTGCTAAAGAAGAAATACTGAAGTGCTCCACAAATGCAGCAATAACCCAGTAATAACCCTTTCTAATCTGATTTTAAAGCATCCTCTGTCCACACTGATGAAGATTCACTCACTTCACTGTTCTTAAAACGACTGCAGTGAGAGGGGAGTCTGACATTGTTTTTGCTTGACTCAAGGAGTTAAGCAAGGAGAGTGTAAGCAAATAATTGTTTAACCAATTGGGGACAATCATAAAATTATCACAATGCTTTCAAATTTGAGGCCAAGATGATTAGGCAACCATCGGATACAATAGAATATGAGACAGTGTCATCTGCACAACTTGTTCTGTCCTGCAGATGAAATTAGTAACATATTGTACTATTTCAATTTGTTTTTCTCACAATACACAAAGAGAATGTAGCATCATGAGTTGAGCACACACTCAAATATAGCAGCACTTGCTGTTTCTTCACAAACTGGCCCATTGAAAATATATTATCATAGGCCAAAATAATTGGCAAGCTACAAAGTTGTGTCACAGATTATTTAATTTAATTAAACAAAAATCTATTCTTGAAAATAATGCTTTGCCTTTTCAAAAACAGAGAGCGTAAAGATCAATTTTCTGAAAAATGAAGGGGCAACTTTAATCAATGTTTATTATTGTGCATTATTTATATTTTCCCTTCAGTAATCAATGGTGAAGCTGGTGTCAAGGTTAATTTTTCCATGCATTTCTGATTATCTAAAATGTGCTTAATCATTATGGTAACATGCTCTACAAACAGTCTGAGTGCCCCCTAGTGGTCAGACAGTTATCAGCTGCAGAAAAAAGGCCAAACTCTGTTGCAGTGTCGGCCACTTCAAGCATTTAGCATGCCAAGGAGAGTGTAAGATAAGATGAAGAAATGTCATTATCAGGTCGTTGCTGCAACATTTGTGCAGCAAATATAATGAGTTGTAAATGTAGGTGGCTTTAAATACAGATTAAATGTGTTTTTGCAAAAATATATTTGCTTCAGACTCTTTGATTTAATGAATAAGTAATTTTAGTGGTATTTTTCCGAGAAATTTATAGTTGCATGTAAACTTCTTTTTCTATTGATAGTATCATTTAGTGCTAAAAAGTGGCAGAAGATGCAGATTAATTCATTTCACAATGACAAATTTTACATAACACCAGTGGCCTTATTTGAAGCTCAATTTAGTGAATTACTTGGACGACCTGCTTCCATTCAGAGCTTTAGTTTTTGGCTGCTCATTTTCTCACTGTAAGCTTACAGTGAGCTCAGACAGCACAAACAAATTATTTACATTGATTTTAATGATGATCAGGGCTTATCTAACTTAACCTGTTTGAAACATCAAACCCCTCCGTTGTGTGCATCAACATGCGTACAACTGTCGAGGCACACAAACCACATCTTTAATAAATATTTGCTGAAAATTGCCATCTGAAGTGTAATGTTTTTCACAAGTCTTTCCTCCAGATCATAAGGGTTATTTTGACCTATGCGTCTTTCTGTGGGCCTCATTCTGGTGTCTACTTATGGATCTGACCTTTACATAAATAGGCTTGTGACCTGTATTAACAATATCCCTGCTGGGGATTACACCAGGTGTCATAATTCTATTTAATGAATAACTTAACATTTAAAATCCCAGGCGAAAGTCCACCAGGCTTTCACTCTGGGAAACGAGTGCCAGCTACTGCTTTTGGAGAATTTTAATTGCTATCGTAAAAGAAGTTTTAAAGTCCAAATATAGCCCTCTACAAAGGCGCTTAAAGATCTTTTCTGCTGATTGATTTACTCCACCTGTCTGATAATGTTCGTACTCGTAAAGGTGAAGTATGCACTCACACACGCATTCACGTTTCCAACAGAGCTCTGACCTGAATAAAGTTGAATTCTCTCCAGCTGAGGTAGCCGCCTACAGAGGGCAAGGATGTTAGCCCTAACAGGACGAAGAGGAAAAATCCCAGGATTCCCAGCGATATGAACGAGTCTGTGCCCCACGCCTCAGTGTTATCGAAGTAAGATGGGGTGGTTTTATTGTTCTTCACCTAAGAAAGAACGAGACAGCAAAAGAAAGAAAGAGGCAAAGGAAGAAAGAAGAAATCAATGCAAGTTTTATGCCATGTTATTCTTCATGCATGACTGTTAAAAAACATGATAACTGGTTTGGACCAGCTTGCTGTACCTCATCCACCACCCCTGAAATGAGTTTGTGCCTGAAAGAATAGCGAATAGGGATGATGAATGTATAGATAGCGTGCAGAACAGCAAAGCCAAGTGCAACAAGACCCATCTGCTTCCTGCAAAGCATCCAGCGGTCCAGCCAGTTCGGGAAACGCCTGGAGAAAGAAAAGCCAAAAGCAAAATACTATCTAATTTAACATTACAAAAAACAACATGCATAGTATACCACATTATCATTTTATTATTATTTCTGTGATAATCCGACCTGTATTTGGTCCCTCTGTAGAGTTGAAAGAAAGCAGCAATCGCGCCAGGCAGGTAACAGAGAGACAGCATAACAAGAGCCACAATTGGAAACACCTAGAACACAATTTCACAAAACACCCTTAAGAACAACAACAACAAAAAAAATGACACCAGAAAAGATTTAATATAAAGGACAACTCACGACCTTGTTGGCCAGGGCCACCATGATTCGATATGAGATATCGTTTTTCTTTTCAACATAAGCATAGATAACATCTCTGATGAGCAGGTAGAAGAAGAAGAAGGCGGAGAGGCCAACAGCTATGGACAAAGGCAGCCTCCACTCCGGGAACAATTTCAGGGGGAAGTCCTCCAACTCTCTAGCTGCTGACAAAGAGCCTTTATCCAGAACAGTGAGGCCCAGTTTGGTAGCCAGGTGTGCCACTGCCTGCTTTGCTTCTCCACTTTCTCCACACAGGAAGACCTGCACACAGTTTAGGCAACTTCAGAAATATGCAGAAGGAAAAGTATTTGGAAGACATTGTTAGCAAGAATTTAAATGCCAAAAAACGAGAGAAGTATTTTCTGCTCTTTTATTCTCACCACAGTTTTATTCCTATGATTTTCTTTAAATTTGCAAACATCTAAACAGATTGCGTGTTTGACCAAATGTCACTGAAAGCAGTTGTTGTTGTTTTGCTTGACAAGAAATGTTAAAATTAGATTAAATTCAAGACTTCCATTCATTTTTTTTAATTCAGTGAATGTAATTAGTATATAGTAGAAAGCACTTATTGTCCCACAATAAGTGGGACAATAAGGGGTAATTACAAGGGGTAATTTGGGTGTTACAGGGTGGGGTTGCCACCCCACCCTGTAACCCTGTAGTGGAGGCCATAACAATATATTGACTCAAAGAAGAATGAGGACAAACCTCTATAAAAACACACAGCTCCAGTTCATTACATCCACACCGAGACGACCTTGACATATAATGGCTGTTGCTAAATAGAATGATATTAATTGAATGCATGTTCTTCATCTACTTGTATTTTAAACTGTGCTGTTCCAAGTAGGAAAAAGTATCAAAACTAAGAGCAATGTGACTGTGGTATAATCAAAAACTAAAAAAAATAAAAAAACTCAAGGTGTTTTCTGTTTCTGACTTTTTCTCAGATGCCTGCTTTACTTCTCTTTGTGATGCTGACAGCATGTGCTGCATGTCTGCAGGGTAAGACACATACATTTTGCTTTTAACAGACAAAAATGATGAGAATTTTGAACATACTTCCAGATAGGTCTGTTTTTCACAAGAAAGATTTGACCGATAGATGAAGGTTTTCTTTGAAATGATCAATTTAATATATTTATTATATTTATAAAATTTCATGTGTTTATAGATCTATCAGGAAAAATATTTACATTTCCACAAAAACCTACACAACCAAACTGATGCTGAATATATCCACACAATTTAAATGCTGTGACAGTATGTCTCAGTTAATGTAACAAAATGAATTGCATGAGGAAACCTGAGATAGAAGTAACATGAACTGTGTCCTTATTTGTTTATTTTGCTTCTTTTTCTTTTTTTTAATTTCTGATAGGTCTTTTACAGATCTCAGCAGAGCCCACAGTCTTTTTTCCCTGGCCACACCGTCTTTACACAATGGTTTACTGATATTCAAAGAAACAGCTGCTGATACAATTGGCTTGTATGTGAACAATCAAGGACTAATTTCTGTACTGGACTATGAGTTGAACGCCTGGCACTCTGTTTGCTCCACATGGGACTCTGAATCTGGATTGGGTCAACTGTGGTTTGATGGAAAACCTTCAGTCAGGAGGTTCATCACAGATCAATCAACCACTTGTTGTCCTTGGACAGGTATATTTACAATATTAACAAAAAATGAAAAAGATCAAAAGTTGCTGTCCATGCATAGAATGTTCTTTATTGTTATTCTGACTGAACGCTGTTCTTTGCTTTCAGGAACAGGACAGCTATGGTGGTAAATTTGACATTAAGCAATCTTTTGTCGGCATGATGACCGATGTCCACATGTGGGACTACGTCCTTTCTTCCTGTGAAATCCAAAACTATGTGGACAATCTGAATTTCAGTCCAGGCAATGTGCTGAACTGGAAGGCTCTGACGTTTGAGATTACTGGAAGAGTCCTGATAGAAAACAAGCAGCTGACCTGCCACTAGAGCCAGTTAGTGGGAAAAGGCCTCGTCAAGTCCGGCTTCTAAGGGCAGAATGACGTTTCTGTGTAAACTAGAAAATAGTGCATGTGGGAAAACAGGGTGTGTTTGATCAGGGTGAATTTCTTTACAGTTGCAATCAAAGCTTATCCAAATATGCAGAAATTGTGGTTTTCTCACTATAATTCCATCTGATCTCTTCAACTTGATAAATTAACGCTGCTGTTACTAGCTCTGCTACCAGTGCTAGTAGCAGTCCTAGTAATAAAACAAAAAATACCAGAGAAAATATAACAAAAGCTCTCAAGTCCAACTGTATCCAATCATTATTACCAATAATCATGATACCAAATCATGCTTTTAACATATTGTTTTCTATTCAATTCTAAATGACAATAAAAATGTATGTTTTTCCTGCAGCATCACTGTTGTTCATTTTGTTTATTTGCTGGAAATATCAGTTGATCTGTTTAGAGTAAAATCTAGAAGATACCTTCCAAATAAAGTCTGTCTGAGTACTGACCCTTCTTTTGTTTGTCTCTCTGTGTTTTATGAGTAATTTTTGGAGCCGAAGCTAATCTGTATTGCTTGACTCTGTAAAGACACATGTCCGCTTCGTATATGCTCAGGATTTAATCCCATTTCTAGATCTCGCCATGCTGACGCTTATCATTTTTACCTCTCGGCTCTGGGATAAGATGATTAAGTTGTTTGTAAGAAACTGAGCGCTGCAGAGTGTTGGAAAGAGCAGCCTGACAGGCGTGTGTGAGAGTCGGAAGGATAGGGCACTTTTCCCCAGGTGTGTGTGTATAAGTGGACTGGGCAGTCAGCCATGTCTGCCTACATTACTGCACCAGTAACAGCAGGGGACGGCCGACAGACTAAATCTCCATCTGAATGTAAATGTGACAGCGCCACAGCCCCGCTGTGGATCTAATCAAATTGCTGGCCAGGGAATAGTGCACATTTACAAGCATGTATGTGTGTGCATGAATACATAGTGTGACTACATGTGCAGCAAGAAAGAGATTTGGAGACACATCTTGTGTTCTTTACCTGTTTCCAAAGAAAACAGAGGTGTGTGCGACGGCGTGTGTCTGCGTGCGTGCGTGCGTGCGTGCATGCATGCGTGGGTGTGTGTGTGTGCGTGTGTGTGTACACATATGAAAAAAACTGTTTGTGCTAAAGAGGATTTGAGGCAGATTCAGGTTTGGTCTCTAGAGGTTCCAGCATGTTTGTGTTCCTCTTGAAACAAACTGAAATGAAGGTTGCAATAAACACTGGGCTTTCAACTTAAGGTGTGTTTGCGTGTGTGTGTTGTTTTTTTTTTGTTTGTTTTGTTTTGTTTTTTTACATTGTCCTCATTTTCTTTACTCCTCAGATGGAAAGTTGATACAATCAGTTATCAGCAGGAAGGCAAATGAAATAAATTCCATTTCCAGGTTGTGCACAGTGTATGACGAAGTAATCTTTTTTTTTTTTATGTTTACAAATCTGAGAGGCACTTTTCCCAATGTACAATAAGCGATGAAAGCAGGCACTGTTTTTCAAGTTTGATGTCAAGTGTTTCTCATCATGAACAGATCAAGTTGGTAATCTCCTCCCTGTTACTGCTCTGTCTTTGTATCTTTCCTTCCTGTCAGCTAAAGTGCTTCTTAATGCCTAGCAGCTTCCTGGTGTTGTTTCGCCTTGATCCCACCGACGTTCTCTGAAAGATTACTTACTCCTTACCTGTTTTCCTGCTAAAAGTTCATTCTGCAGGGCCCAGGCAGACAGCGTGTTAAGACCTTTCACCACAGCAGCACTGGGAACCAGCCTGTAGAGCACACAGCATTTTACTTTTATTGGTTTCAAAGGAAATCTGTCTTAGCACTTTCATATGTTCCTCGAAAGTTGCAGTCTGGTAAATAAAGGGCATGCTTTGAAAGCCTTTAATGTTTTGTTTTTCTGACATAATACCACATTTTGTACATAATTTCTTATCATTTCAATTGAAGGATGTATTAGGACACCCCCATGTGTTTACCACATAAAATGACTAAAATCCCACACAAATGTCTGTCACATCGGGTGAAAATGGCTACATTACAACATCCTTACACGGCATCGTGATGGAGGCTTGGCCTGTTTAAATCACAGACAGTTTTTGTTCCTGACTTTTGATATGCAAGGGAACACCGTGGTAGGAATAAGACCTCATAAAGAAGATTATGTCATCCTATGAGCCTAGCAAGGAATTTGAAAAAGGTTTAAAAGAATCTGAAATCTCATTTCTCACTTCAAGGTGCATGTAAAGGACATTTTGAGCAATCGCCAGCATGCCCACATTTAACCACCATAATAACCTGAGAGCAGAACAATAAAATGCTCAGGCAAGTCTCCAAAAACTAAAATGTCACATGAAAGTCCACGTCTGTAAAGTCAGAAAGAGACCGAACAAGTTCAGCTGCCGAGGATGGAGTGCAATGAGTTAAACGTTTTGCATTGAAGCCAGACTGAAGTTTTACAAAGAGTAAGCAAAGGCCTTGTAATGGATAAAGGAATCTAAACTTAAATTATTTGCTTAGCAACAGGGATAACAACTGTCTTACTGT